GGGTCCCTGCGGCGGCGTCGGTGCGGTGAGTGCTCCGTGGGGTTGTTTTTTATTGGCACCCACGGCCCCCGTAATACCTCCCAAGGTGCCTGCCTGTGGTGTAAGGGGCCTGGAGATGCCCTCCCGGCCTCCACGGGGCTGCCCGAGCCCCTCTGTTCCTCGCCGGGGCTCTGAGGAGTTATCGCTTGTTAGCCTTTGGTTTTTCCTCTGAAATGCGTATCCGTGAACAGGACTCTGCGTTGGTTTTTTATGAGGCAGAATGGAGAAGAACGGGTTTGTAGCCGCGCCGCGGTTTGCTCTCAGGTGGTCCTCAGAAAGCCCAGGTCGTGCTGAGGGAAAGGAGCAAAGAGGTGTTGTTGCTGGGAAGGGCTTGGTGGGAAACTCGCTGTGTTGTGGGTACGTGAGATTTGGGACTTGGGCACCAAATGGGAAGAGCTCCCCAAGTGAACTGTGTGGCTGGTGTGTTGGTGAGCAGCGGTGCAGTGCTCAGCCCTCAGGTCTGGGCTCGCTGCTCTGTGATTCTCTGATATTTGAACTGTGAATTTTGCTTCAGGCAAAGAAGCTACGGGTTTAGGAAGGGAATATTTGGGACTGACTCTGTGCCGACTGTGGCATCCAGGCATCTTTTCCTTAACGAGCCTGCTGCTCCGTAAAGGGGCCGGGAGCTGGGAGCTCAGGGGAGAGGGCACAGCTGTGGGCGAGGGGCTTGCCTGTCAGTGCTTTGTGAGCTGAGCAGGGCAGAGGCAGAGATTATGGCCAGGCTCATGGTGATGAGGCAGGTCAAGCTGGGAAGCTGGCCCATAAGTCAGGGTCAGGTCCCCTGGTTGCCAGGCAGGCCTGCCTGGTGATGGGGCCAGGCCCAGCAATGAGGAGGGGAACCAGAATCGGACACAGACCTGAGATGGCCCAGCAGGTCCATGGGGACGAGGACAGGCTGAGGCCAGGACATCAGCTTGTGGGTCAGGGCTGGGGCAGCAGAACCAGCTGCTCTGGTAGCAGTAGGGACCAGCAGTCCTGTGGCATCACGGATAGGCTGAAATGGGTCTTGTGGACCATGAGCAAGGTCAGGGAGGTCCTGGGCCAGGCCAGGCAGGGACGGTAGGGCCTGGCTTTGTCCTCAGGGCCCTGACAATGTGTCGTATTGTCACTTCTGTTTCAGTGGAAATAACTGCTGGTTTCTGGTTTGAGTTAAAACATCAAAGCCTGAAAACGTACAAGCCTAACAACTGTTAGCAAGTTCCCCCATGAATGGCAAACAGCAGCACTCCATGTGTTTTAGTGTCATTATCTTCCCACGAGACAAAGTTCAGGAAAATTACCTTTTTTTGGATGAGGGCTAAATAAATGTTTGGGTTATGGGATGCTGATCTGCCCAAAGTATTTGGGCAAAGCAAAAGGCAGCTATCATGCATGTTGCACAGAGAGAATTCAGTGTTGCCTAGGAAAGTTGTTCTTCATTCCCACTGATTCCTGATTTAGATGGGAATATAAACTGCATTCTTATGTTCTTTGAAGTAGTTAGCCTGTATGGAGTAAGGTGTCCAGGGAAAAGAACAGAATTTGCCAAGGTCCAGTACACTTAATGTTACAATAGTAGCATTTCTCTAATTGAGAAAGGCAATTAGTTATGGGACTTCCTTTTCAGAGGTGTGTAAGAATGTAGGAAAACAAGCTTTTTTTTCTCTCTGCATCTCACATATAAGTAATAAGCCATATGTTGTACAATATACCTTAGAAGAAAGTTCCAGTTAGCAAGAACATTGATGGATTACTATGATATCAGTGTTTTGGTTATTTTTTACTGAATAGATCACAAGGGATTGGGAAATATTTTTTTCCTTCCCCAAGTTTCTTGTAACCAGAAGGCTATACAATAACTTTCATTTATATTTTTCTTCTGTAAAGCCTTAGGAATTGCCAAGAACTAGCTGGAGTAAAAGCATGAGTGTTTTTCTTTCATACAGGACATCATGGCAGCCCATCAGGAGAAAAAACCTTCTGAAGAAAGAAAACGCAAAAGCGCCCAAAATGGGACTCAGACATCTCAAGCCCAGTGGGGAAGAGCCTGGTGAGAGAAGCTGATGACCTTAATCAGTCATTGTATTTCAGATTGGTTCATTCTTTCTTATATAGATGCCACAGTCCCTTTCATCTTCACTCTGTTCATAACAGATTGCAACATTGCCCTTCTTTTGGAAGATCACAGATAATGAGCTGTAGTGACAGATGCCAGAGTTCTTGAAGATTTTTAAGAGAGAGAGCTTGCCACGTGGCTTGGGTTAAAACACACTTCTCCTTCCAAATAAGGAAAAGAAATAATAACAATCAGTAAAATTTGTAGTTCCTTCAAGGGCTGAACAAAATATTTCTTGAGATCTGGCAAACAGGTATCTATCTATCTGTGCCATCACCAGCTGATATGTCCTGCTGCAGCAGATTTATGACTCATCTCCCTGTTCTCAAAGAGTTGTGCAAGGATTTGTGGAGTATTGTACAGCAGCTGGAAACAGCCCTGAGTGTTGATGTGGCTTGCCAACACAGGCAGTGTGTGCTAGAGGGTCTGTCTTTTCTGTGTTTCCAAGCTTTGCATAATATTCTTGTGATTCTTTTATCACTTCCAATTGGACACTACCAGTTATACCCATAATTGACTTAAAAACATGAAGACTGTAACAGCAATCTACTTTTGTAGGGCAGATACTACCTGTTCTGCTGCTCTCATAAACTAGCACAGTTTTCTAACAGTTTGTGCTACAGTATGTAGCATGTGAATTTATTTTTTTATAGCTGTTTGTCCCAAGGAAATGTAAATGCCCTGAAAATGTTTTCATCTGGTTAGTCCGAAAAAACTGGGTGACTTAATCAAACCACTGTTTTAAATGTGAGCTGGTAAAAAAAATGCTCTGCTTTGGATTACAGGGAGGTGGACTGGTTTTCCTTGGCAAGCATCCTTTTCCTGCTCATGTTTGCACCACTTATTGTTTATTACTTCATAATGTCCTGTGACCAGTACCAGTGCTCTCTGACTGATCCACTCATTGACTTGCTCACGGGTAATAAACATCTGTCTGACATCTGGAACAAGACTCCTGCACTGACCTATAGAGCTACTGGTATCTATGCTCTTTGGGTCACTTTCCAGGTATGTTCTTGGGTTATGATCTAGATGTAGTGGCTGGTTTTTCAAACAGCTGCTTGATTAATCCTTTTACACAAAGGATAATGGAATGCCATCTTGGCATTTATTCTTGGGTGTTTATCACTTCCTGTGGCATTTTGGAATCCAAATTAAGCTTAAGGGCTTGAAAAATCAATATGTAGATTCCTTGTGTAATATTCCTTATGTGACTTATTCCTTGATGTGGTTTTTAAGAAAAAGCAACTATATAGAACCAGTACCAACTTTCTTTAAATTAATACTCAGTAAATATATTGTAAAGTACCAGTGCAGAAGTGGTATTTTCTATAAACAGATAGTAAAAGAACATTAACTTACAAAATATAACTTATATTTGTAAAATATCATCTAATTTATCCAACTACTCAGTTTGTTTTTTCAAATCTGGTAATGACTTGCATATAACAGAGATTAACTTCAAAATAAAAGGATAAGGACCTGAATCTAGTTACCAACTGTCCAGTCTTTCCATCAAAAAAGGATGGCAACCATACAGTAATTGTTTAATAGGTTGAACATATTCCTAATCTAAAAACACAACAGCTAAATCTTACCATATTTGCTTCTTCAATACTTAGTTGAATATGCTGTGTGTTAGAATTGATATGTGTATGAAATGGATGTTGTTTTTTGGGGTTTTGTCTTGTCTGTGTTTGCTTTTAATAGACTCTCTCCTTTCCAGGTGTTTTTGTATGTATTCATTCCTGACTTCTGCCATAAGTTCCTTCCTGGATATGTAGGAGGTGTGCAAGAAGGTGCTGTCACCCCTGCTGGTAAGCTCTTCTTTAGATTATATACACACTGTACAACCTTTAAAAAATGATAGTATTTCTAGCATATGGATTATTAAAGATTGTATCTGGAGAAGATGTGAACATGAATGCTTTCACCTTCCTCATATGTTTACTTCAAACAAAAATAAAAGCAATCTACAGATTTTTTTTAGAATAAAAGATAGAATTTTTGTATCTTGCTGTTAGTACAACTATTGATATGGCAGGCACCACAAGGGCAATGGGAAAATACAGATTGATCATTTTGGCACTTAAAATCAGCAATGGACTATTGCTAGTATCTGTCAATGCATTTGCACCTGCTGGAGCCAAGTTAACCCATGAGACTTGAACAAAATGTGTGATGTGAACAAAGTGTAACAAAGGGTAATTTCTTACCTTAGTCAGTGTTAGGAGAGATGCCAAATTCACTGTTTCATGAAGTGAGAGCAGAGAGAAAAATTCAGCCTAACAAATCCTGATGGTTACAGCAGAGTCTAATGAAACTTTCCTGAAAGTGTCACAAGATACTTACTTGGGAGGGTGCACAGAGTGAGGTAGTTTCATGAGCACATGATTGATCTTCTATATATTGTGTGCATATCCATATTAATAAAAAGCTGTACTAATGCAGTGTCACTAACACTCATTGTTTTTCTTCCTATTTTAGGTGCAGTGAATAAGTATGAAATCAATGGACTTCAGGCTTGGATCATTACCCATGTGCTTTGGTTTGCAAATGCCTATTACTTCCACTGGTTCTCACCCACCATCATTTTTGACAACTGGATTCCTCTCCTGTGGTGTGCCAATATCCTGGGATATGCAGTTTCCACGTTTGCAATGATTAAAGGCTACTTTTTCCCCACCAATGCCAAAGACTGGTACGTGGTTTTTAATAGCCAGATAATACTAGGTAATCAGACGTGTGAGTTGAATGCTGCACAGAATGACAAGGACAGAGTATATTTTACTGGCACAGACAGAGAGACCAGTCTGTGACTGTAGGTCTTTGCTTCATTAGCACTGTGCTCTGTGTCATGTGCCTGGCAGCCTCAGTGTCACAGATAATAAATTTGACACAAATAAGATGGTTGTAAGGTTATAGTTAGACTGTTCAAAAGTGTTAACAAGAATAAACTAGGGTACCTCTGAAGCTAAAGTTTCTCTACTAATATAATGCTTTGGCTGGGTCAGTTTGTGTTATCTTGCAAAATGTTATATGGTTTTATGATTTTTATTACCATTACATCAAGTGAATCTGAAATGTGTAGTCAGATTAGTAATTACCTGTATTTGTGTGTAACTATACATTTCTAATTTTCTAGCAAATTCACTGGCAACTTCTTTTATGACTACATGATGGGCATTGAATTTAACCCTCGAATAGGAGAGTGGTTTGATTTCAAGCTCTTCTTCAATGGGCGTCCTGGTATTGTAGCCTGGACTCTAATTAACCTTTCCTATGCTGCTAAACAACAGGAGCTGTATGGCCAAGTAACCAACTCCATGATCCTTGTCAATGTCCTTCAGGTAAATTCAAAGGAGAAAAATAAGAAGCCAATGAGGAAACAGACTTGTATTAAAGGAAAAACAACTCTTTGCATTGAAATTGAACTTTCACAGTTTTTCCTTGCCTGAACAACCTCATTCAGTGGTGATGTACCAGGGCTTGCTTCTTTGGACACTTGTAGTAATTTCTTTGGGTGTTTGTATTCAGAGTGCCACTGTAAACACTCTGCAGTACTCATTAAGGGTGCCACCAGTGGCATGGTCATATCTGCACCAGAAGTTTTCATTGTGAACTTAAGAAATACTTCTCTGAGCCTATGTTCTGGAACCAGGCATAGCCTGATCATGAACCTAAAGAGAAAAATGATTAATTCCATGGCTTTAGTTGGAGCAAGATTGGGCAGGTTTTTTTCCCAAGGGCAGCACTGCAACTGACTTTTGTTTGTGTGAGAGATATGCAGAGCTACAGATGTCTCCACACCTAAAAACAGCTATTTGGGTGCTGTGCTTCCTGCTG